TCTGAGTTTATTGATTATAAGTTTCTTAATCTAACTTTTACATTTCTATCATTTTAAAATTTTTTATTTTTTTATCTATTTTTATATTTCAAAAAAATTAAAAATAGAAATTAAAAAATAAATAAATCTAAATAAATAAATAAATAAAAGATAAAAATATATAATTTAGTTTATATTGTGTTTATAATCTAATTTGACATTAACTCAATTTGTCAAATTAAGTTCAATTTAATAATTCAAATATCAAAAAAAATTTTATTTAAATATGAAAAAAATGTTACGATCAAATTAATAATTTATGTTTTTATATGTTATTTAAGGTTAAAAAATAAATTCAATAATTAATTGATATATAAGGATTAAATTCGAAAACACATAGTCAGGTAGAAAAATTAATTCCACAATTTAATTAAAGTATAGGGATAAACCTTATAATTTAAAAAAAGCTAGCTTGAAAAATGATGACATATAAAAAAATTTTACCGCATCATTATTTTTTATCACAAACTTTATAAATTATTAAAATCAACAACGATCGTAAGTAAAAATTTTACGTCAAAAAAGTTAAAATATTATGTCATCAATTTTAATAAAAAATTTTAAACCATTAACAATTTAACAAAATTTGATAATTATATAAAATATAAAAATTTAATTTAAACACATTAAGATAAAAAAAATTAATTCAATCATTTAATTAAAATACAAATCTCTGTTATATATTTTGATCGTATCAAATCTTAACTTATTCTCTAGTACAGAGCTCTCATTACCAAATTCCTTTTATTAAATTAGTACTAGTGGTTTAAAAAAAAAAAAACTTATAAATTGTCATTTCAAATTCCCTCGTGTGTTTGCTCTTGTCTGGTTCATATTATTATAGTATTTATTTTCCATCTGCTTTACCAAAACATTACAATCTGAAATTTTATTAGTATCCTCCTCCTTTCTAAAGGCCACCATTTCTAAGATAGAGATATGGACCCAGCATCCATTGAAAATGTGACATTTGTATGGCAACTTCTAGACCCCATTTCGCCCAATTTGCACATTCTTTTTCTTCGCTTTTCTATGTAAATTTCTACCTACAAATCAAGGATATTGCTTATGAATAATGCAATGATTGAACCAAACAAAAGAAAAAGGAAAAGGTTTCAATTTCAAAGATCAAACACAAAGCCAAAGTCCAATGACACGTATTTGTTGGTCATCACTTTTGATTTGATCTCTGTTTAACCGACAGCCAGAACAGAGAAAAGGTCACTGCTTTTTGTTTCAGCTCAAGATTTATCCCCCACCTTTATTAAAGTTGATATGAACTCACACCAGCAAATTAAAAGATGGGTCGAGCTCAGTTTACTGTGTTTGTATTCACAACTGTAAACACCAGGGATAAAAAAACAAAAGACATGGGACTTTGTGTTCGTTGAGGCACCCATAAAAAAGAAAGAAATTGATTTTAATTTCTTTTTTAAATTTCATTTTTAACAGTGAATAACCAGAAGAAACAAATTTTCATTTGCTTGTGTTTGGAGTTTAGTAGCTTAGCACCCCAGCTGGCACCCTCCTTGCTTCTAACCTTTTTTTCCCTTAATCTATGCTGCTACCAACTTTTTAAGTCTGTTTAAAACTTTAGAATTTTAAAGATGATGAGCTAGTAATTGGACATTCAAATTATTGGTAGCGGAAAGAAAGGCAACAAGGCATTGTTTTGCTGCCTCAACCCTCAGCCAAGGATCAAATATTCAATTGACATACAGGGCCATACTTAGCTGGATGAATCATCTTTTTGGATACACAAACAGCAAAAAGCTTGAATTTTAAGCCCACCAAACAGTGAAAAGGTATCATAGTGTGTTATTATGTATATATATCTTTCAAGTTATATCAAGACCTTGATCAAAATGGGGGCAAATTGATGATTGGATTACATCTAATCATACACACACACCAACAAAAAATCTTCTATATTACTCGTTTTTTTTTTTCTATCTTTGTGGGTCTTTCCCAGTAAATATAGCTACGTAAAGCTAAAATCTATTTGTCGTGTCACACTTATCCTTGCCTCTGCCATGCGTTACACGCGAATCTTTGACAAAAACAGGAAGCTGGTGCGTTAATTGCTTGGGGGAAAAGAGTAAACCCCATCATTTAACAACTGCAACTGTGATTTTCAAGCTTTAAAACGCTTTTGTTATTGACTAATTCTCCTACTTTGTCCATAATCCACCTAATGTTGGACATTAGAGACAATACTGTTTAAGATGTAATCGTATATTTTGACTAAACATAAGACATCTAATGTTCAAGGCCATCATTTTGTTTTAGTGAATGGTTGATGATCATGACAGATTTTCTACGAGGCCAAACTAGAAAGGGAATTGATTAGTGATGAGGTGGGTAGATAGAGCTCAAGACTAGACAGTTCTTCTTGACCTCTAAAAGATGTGGGTATTTGACGATTGCAGTTTATGTTTGGAAGTTTAAAGATAAAAGACAATAGAGTAAATTGGCAGAAAGATGAAAAAGAAGTAAAGAAATTAGTATTTACTTAAAATGATTCTATTCTCTGCTTTATTTGGGAATTGTGAGTGAAGAAGAGATTAAACTCTAGATTTTAATATCTAACGAAACCTGTTAATATCTCCTTGAATTTGCAAGTTCACCACTGGAAAATCCGACCACTAATACACCAATTAGATGGTATTGGACAAACTAATGGCAGGACTTAATTGAGCTACGTGTAACGTGTGTTAGGGTTAGGACCTTTTTCCCTATCGTAATTTTGGTTTTTGTGGCCAACGCCTGGATTCATTAGAAACACAGAAACCCCACAAGTAAATGATCAGGGCACCACATTGGAAAAGCTGAAAAGTGACATTTGTTCCATGCGGGGCCGGGGCCAGGGCCGGTGGCACTGCCCATCGGGAGGGAAGGGAGTGGAGAGGTCCCCTGTAACTCTGAAGGTTACAATTCATAAGTCTCGAACACAACAAGATACCAACTGGCCAAGCCTGCATCAAATCTAGCCTCAGTCGTTGGGTTGTGCATGTGCGTTTTTCTAATACGTACAAAATTCCAAGCGCCAAAAAGGGCTTGTATATAACAGACAGACAGCGATAACACAAGCTTGTGACATTTGCTCACTCGATAATTACCAAACCAGACAACTGCTTTAAAGGTTATCAATATCCCCCCCCCCCCCCCCCAATTTTCCTTCCAAGCATTTCTGTGATGACTAGACCAAATTTAATTTTGTGTGTCGGGTGAAACCCTGACCAAACCAGCGTAATCGTTGCGTCATTTCAATGTTTCAGGCCCCTCTTAAGCCCTCTGTGCTTAATTTGTATGTTGCTAAGTAAATTTCAGATTCAATAGCAGTTTGCCGCAAATTGTATCTTGTTTTATGATTTTGTATTATTAGTAATGCAATGATTTTACATACTTAACAATAAATCACAAAAACTGTAATTAAATTGTGCGACTTTAGTATATGATGCTCTCTTATTGGTGAAAATTTCAAGCGTGAAAATGAACAGAGAGAAAGTTGGATACAGTGTATATTCTTCTCTGATTTTCTGTGTGAATGACAATCCTTATCATTGATTTCCCAAAGCAAATCCCTGAAAGAACAAAAGGAACAGTGATGCATTGGGGGGATCCCACATGGCCGTCACCTTCTGCCCACCACTATGCATCAATTATAAGATTCTCTCTTCAAAATTCGAATACCTAAGAGGTGTGCCTGTCAACGACCTAACAGTATCATCTCCTTTCATTTAGTCCAATCTTTTTTTGCTATGAAGTCTTTTTATAATTCAGATTTTCAACAAGAATTTAATGAGGATCCAAATTTTCTTCTGCTACACCAAATCTTGCAAAATTTGATCTTGTTAAGACGAGGTAGGCCAAGGCTAAGAGCTTCAAAATTCAATTCCAACCCTATGCGTCCAAACTGTAAAGGCTTTCCCATTGAGAGAGTGGGGGTACAAGGGTCCCACCCCATGGGCCCCAAGATGGTCCTACTAAAGGAAGGGTTGTCGGTTGGCCACCCCGTTGGGTAGCACAGAGAAGGACCATTACAGCGTTTATGGATCACCCTTTTTCTCACGTAGGGTTGACATCAATTTTTGCCCACAAAGACTCTACCTGTCTCCAACGCCACTCAATTTTCAAAAATTATCCTTAGCCTACCCAGGAAATATCAAGATCGCCGAAGTTGCCTGGGCTTTGAGGTAGGCATCGATCGAGCCAAGAGAAAGCCCGGGTCTGCGTCTTTAGTGGACAGTGATCGAGCCTAAACGGGAACAGGGTCTTAATCCCCCTTGTGATCATGCCCCAATTCTTCCCAACATTTAGGTAGGCAACACTTGGACATTACCACTCTTTGACAAAACGAAGTTGTTAAATGTTACCATTTTAACCTATTTATTGATAGGATTAGGTGAAAATCAGATAATTTCCAATTAAGCACACGAGATTCCTGAAACAACCGTACCAAGATCTCTCCAAAGGATCAGTACTGACTTGTTCTCGCTATGTTTTTATACTTTTGTTTCAATTGGAGTAACGCTACAGCCTACAGCATCACTGAAGAGTTTTCAGCTTTTCTTTTTTACTTCATGCATATATAGCAGCAGAAGAAAGTCTCTTGAAACATCTTGGGCGAATTCAGGTGATAATGAAAAGCGTTTCCTTTTTATTTGGTTGAAAAGTTAACCTCAAGCTTGTGGAATAAGTGCATAATGCTTTGACAGCTTCTGGATTTTCCTTGCAACTTCTAGCTGTTTGCTGTGTTCTCTCTTCTTGTTTTTAAATGAATGCAAATGAATAAGAGAAATAATACATATATAAGCTGTAAAAGCACTTATTTTTAATTAATTATTTGTTGACATAAATTGCACTCATTCGAGCTGTGAAAAGTCTAACTAGAGCTTAAAACATGTATGATGTGGGGTTTCCTAACTTGGGCATTACTTAATATTTTGATGAAGTGAAGGAAAAACAGTATAAATATTTTTAGTATGGAACTATGGATTACTCATCATTCTTAGGTTACTCCTTCAGCCAACTCGAGCCCACATTCCTGTCAATCTCAACCATGAAAAGAGAAAAAAAAAAGATTGCAAAGCAATAAAAAGTCGTAGCCTGTAAGAATCCAATGTAAAAACAAGTTTGAAGCTGACCTTCAACTGCCAAGTTAACCCATTTCATTAATGAATCCCTTTAATACGGAAAAACACTTTCCTTTTCTCATACTAACATCACTCAGTCCATCTTAAAGCTACTGCTTCACTCATTCACACCAATAATCTGCTGAATTTCATGATCATTGGACCATTAGGCTTAAATTCGAGCATAGGGTTGTTGGTGATATTGTAGTGAAAACACAAGGGCAGTTTCAGACTTTTAGATGTAGCCCCAATTATAAAATATATGATCTGCAAAGTGCAAAGTCGTAGGTGAGGATGGTTAAAGGCAACTATGATAGCGATACACATCCTATTCCTTCTTTTAGCTTAACCCTTTACCTTCTTTTTCTGTGTTCTTTTATTCTTTTATTATTTTGCAAAGCTAGCAGACAACATAAATGACAGAAACTTTTGTAATAATTTTTCACATTTTATTTCTGATATTCCTTCTCTTAAAGAAATACTAAATGGGAATTGAGAGGCGTACGATGTTGCGTATAAACTAGTGTTTGACTAAAATAATCCTGGGGCGTACAGGTGAAAGTAAAAAATTTAGCGTAGCAATGATGAGAGAGAGGGCACAAATGGGCGCAGCTAAGCACGTGGGTGCTGCCTTTCTCATTGCACGCTGTCATGGCAAGGTCATAAGACTCATGGCAAAATGCCATTGAAGCCTAAGGCTTGAAACGAAATATTCTTTTCGATGTTACAAAAGGGTCAAAAATATATCTACATTCCGAAACAAAACATATTTTTTTCATTTATATTTTGGTTGAATTTTCCGATGAATGATTGGCAGTTGCTGTTTGTGTAGAGAGTATCAAAAGCGTTAGATTTCAGGTTGTTTGTCTCAAAAAAGAATTCTTTATTTAACTGTGTAGAGAGTCTTTTTAATTAGAGGAACGTAGTGAACTCCACATTTATCTATGCGATTTGGAGAGGGCTGCTGCTGTCTTTTTTTTTTTTTTTTTTACTATGCTTTTGGGTTCATTGACTTGGTGAGAGTTTTAGAATACTTGATCTTCGATAGGATTGCAATGGCTTTGATTCTTTGTTTTGCATGTCCAAATCAGATAGGGTATGGAATTTGACTGAAGGACTCCGGACTTTGTATTATTTGATCTTCTGGGTTTCTGTCACTTGATTATTTTTTGCTATATAAAAGAAAAAATTCTATGTATAAACCCACAACAAAAACTCTTGGTACTCCTTTCTTCTTGGATATCCTCTCTGGTATCTCCTTCCGTAAAATTGTAGTATTTCTTTTGACAGTTTATTTGTTCTATTTGCTGGAATTTGAGGTTTATCTTTTTTGGGTTTCTAGTTGGGGTTGCTTAGTTGGGATATTTTCGTACAGGGAATGGGTGGTCTAGTCATTTCTGTTGTTCGGATAACATCTTTTGCTTGCGGTTGGAGAAGGAACTTTTTATGACTTTTGGTGCACCAAAAGGGAGGCTTCTACCATCAGGCGTGAAAAGAGGTTTATTAGTTTCCATCATGTTAAGTTGTACCTGGTGAATACACAAAGCGTAGTGAGGAAAGAAAAAAAAACAACACAAAATTCAGTCATGAAGTTTATGAAGCTCGGATCTCGGCCTGACACCTTCTACACTGCCGAGGCTGTAAGGTATGATTCTTGTGACAGATTCGATTAGATGTGTTTTTTAAGGAAGATACCATGAATTTCTTTTCTTGATGCAGGTCTGTCTCTTCCGAAGTCTCTAGTGACCTTATAATTCAGGTGAAAGGAAGTAGATATCTGCTTCACAAGGTAAAATTTTGTAAGGTTGTTGAAAGTTTAGGACCAGGAAGATTAATTAGTGTAATTGTAGCAATTCAATTGAATTATGTTCTCAATCTTGTTTGTGTGTGTGTGTGTGTGTGTGTGTGTGTTTTAATATTGATTCTTTGCAAATTCATTCTACATGCAGTTTCCTCTGTTGTCAAAGAGTTTGCGGTTGCAGAGGACATGCTCTGAATCCCCTGAAACATCACAACAACAAATAATCCAATTACCTGATTTCCCTGGTGGAATTGAGGCGTTTGAGCTTTGTGCAAAGTTCTGTTATGGTATCACAATCACTCTCAGCGCGTATAACATTGTAGCTGCACGATGTGCAGCCGAATACTTGCAGATGACAGAAGATGTTGAGAAGGGGAATTTAGTTTACAAACTTGAAGTTTTTTTCAATTCCTGCATCCTACATGGTTGGAAAGACTCTATTGTGACTCTACAAAGCACCAAAGCTTTTCCTTTATGGTCAGAAGAGCTTGGAATTACGAGCAGATGCATAGAATCAATTGCATCAAAAGTTTTAATACACCCCTCAAAGGCGAGCTTGTCACATAGTCATTCGAGAAGGGTTAGGGATGATATATCTTGTAATGGAGCAGAGAGCCAGCGGCACAAACAACCAACAACCAAAGGTTGGTGGGCTGAGGACATGGCTGAGTTGGGTATAGACCTCTACTGGAGAACGATGATAGCAATTAAATCTGGTGGGAAAATACCCTCTAATCTCGTTGGGGAAGCATTGCAAATTTATGCATCTCGATGGCTACCTAACATATCCAGAAAAGTAAAAGCTAACAAAGAAGCAGCATCTGGCTCAGATTCAGACTCAGCTGGTGAGGTTACTTCAAAGCACAGGCTGCTTTTGGAATCAATAGTAAGTTTACTCCCGTCACAGAAAGGCGGTGTTTCTTGCAGTTTTCTACTTAAACTCTTGAAAGCAGCCAACATTCTCAATGCTTCATCTTCTTCAAAGATGGAATTGGCTAGAAGAGTAGCACTTCAATTAGAGGAGGCAAGAGTCAGTGATCTGTTAATACCTTCTCTATCATACTCAAGCAATACACTCTGTGATGTAGACATAGTTATGAACATTTTGGAGCAATTCATGTTACAAGGACCTCCAACCAGCCCTCCAAGATCCAAGCTGGGGTTTGAAAGGAGAAGAAGGTCACGTTCAGCCGAGAATATTGACTTTGAGTTTCAGGAAAGTAGGAGGTCTTCTACAGCATCACACAGCTCCAAACTAAAAGTAGCCAAAATTGTAGATGGTTATCTTCAAGAGATTGCCAGAGACAAAAATCTGCCTCTGTCAAAATTCATTGCAATAGCTGAGACAATTCCGGATTTCTCACGGCTTGACCATGATGATCTCTACCGAGCTATCGACATTTATCTCAAGGTAAATAAAAACTGGTTTCATTAGTTTGCCATATTTCATTCTTCTGTTGAATTTTTTCAATATTTCAGCATCACATTTTAGGATGTGGGTCACCATTTTCAGCAGATAACCAACTCTCTTGACTTAATAGTCTTTTTCATGTTCTTGATTTATTGGCAGTTGGGATTAGGCTGACCTAACAAATTTAGCAAAATGATTTCACCTTATGCTGACTAAAAGTGTTTGTGCGAGCTGTAATTCAAATATTCACATTTTACTGAGTTGTTATAGGTCAAGATACGAATAGCATTTCCTTGATTTTCAAGATGGAGGGAAATCCCTAGTATGTAATTGCAATCGTCTCAAAAATATTACCAATTCTGTCTATACCCCAACATATAGAAGAATAGTGGCATAAAACTAAGCTGTTAGTAGTGCTAATACGAAGGTGCAGATTACTGTAGTTCTGGTTTTTGTATATCCAGGCACATCCAGACCTAAACAAGAGCGAAAGAAAAATGTTATGCCGTATTCTAGACTGCAAAAAACTCTCTGTTGAGGCCTGCATGCATGCTGCTCAAAATGAAAAACTTCCACTTAGGGTAGTGGTGCAAGTTCTCTTCTTTGAGCAAGCTCGAGCTGCCACAGCGGGGGGCAAAGTGACTGAGCTCCCTAGCAACATTAAGGCACTTTTAGCTTCTCATAAAATTGATACATCTAGGCCTCCAGGGCCTTTGAGCACTACCACTAGCATTCCAGCAGATGACCAATGGAGCGTCTCAGGTCTTAAATCCCCGAAGTCCAGAATTTCAACATTAAGGATGAAACTAGCTGAAGATGATAATTTGGACGAAAATGATATGAACCCTGATGGAATGGGAAGACCTTCTAAATTTAAGGCTTTCTGTGCTCTACCTACGAGACCCAAAAAAATGTTCAGTAAGTTGTTGTCCATCAATAGAAGTACCAGTGAAAAGAATTGAGTGAATTTTGTTTATTTCCAAAGTTGGGGATGGTAAAATTTTAAGGGTAACATATACTCTCTTCTTTTTTTTGTCCATTGAGCAAATGCCTTGTAATTTTAGCTAAGAAACAAAGAATCTCAATGTGCATTGATGATGTAACCTAATATAATAAGAATCAAGATTTTCAGGAGACAGGAAATTCTTTTGGTGAATCTCATTTTTAGACTGGACTAGGACTCCTAGTTGTAAATGGCTAATCGTGGGGCCAATATAGCTGTGTTTGTCCGTGGATTTGCAAACACTGGTCTTTGTCACTTGGTTGCAATACCTGGATCCTCACCTGGTGATCAAGATTAAGTATTGGTATTTCTTCTGTCCGACAGGATGCACTGATTTTATATTGGAATTTGTCTTAAATCTTTGTTTTAAGCTAAATTGGGATATATTTACTCCAAAATTATATAGAAATTTGCGCTGGCATCTGCAAAGATTCAGATTTATATTTTCTTGAAATTCTTTGTGGGGAATTAACCGCCAAGTTGATGAAATGATAGAATTAATGAAATGATGCGATTTTCCGAAAGAGAAATGGGAAGACAAATACCAAGAAACAAAATCTGCATGGTTTGGCAACCACGTGGATGAGATGATTTGCTTTTCACATTATTAACTTTCAATTCAATTTTATTTAAAAAAAAAAACTTTCAATTCAATTTTGTTGTTTTGATGAATCTTAATTAAAAACTAGAAACTATGTTACTCTGATTTGGGACTGAGTGCTGCACACGAGTACGTTCATTTTTTATAAAGTTTCTTCACATATTTGGAGGGTGAGAGACTTCATTAGCGGATATATGTTGAATATATTACTTCAAAGAAAATAAAGAGTCTGGACAACATAGCCTAAAAAACTTGACCAACATTACCTTGCTTTGGTTTGCCGGCCAGAGATGTAGTTTAATCTCCTCTAAGATATTAAGTACTACTGCAAATATATGCACGAGTTCAGAATCCACTGTAACATGCTTTAAAAACCTTCAGAAAATGAAAAAAGCTAAAGCATATTTGAAGTAATAAACCTAACCAAAATAAGCAACAGAAAAGCTACCTAATAGCATTTCTCTGATTTCGAGTTCATGTTGACGAAAGAATTTACTTGTGTTAAATGAACTGCCTTGATTATTAGTTAAGGATTTGATTATGCCTTTTCATTTTATAAAACTCTCAAAAGAAGTGTTTTAAATCTTGTTCTGTATGCAATGAAGAGAAAAACAGCAAATCTCTGATAAATGATTCCTTTGGTTGTATTATTGAAATGAGTTGCATGCTGATTCAGCTGTCCCTCTCTTGCCATAGAATAGGCTAAAAATTTTCAACTTAGGTCAATTGTAGAGCATTGCTACAAAATAGTCACGTTTTGTTGTCGCTGTTGTAGCATCATTTTATTCATCACCGTCATCATAGTTTTCCCCAATAATGTCCTAACACTTTCAATGACCTTTCTACGTGTTCCCTTGCCTTTCCCCTCTCACACTAGAGCTGCAAGGATTACTGTTTGTAATGTTTTAGCTTCATCCAATTTTTTCATAAAAATCCTTTTGAGTTGTTAGGTAGCATTGCTAGCTAGCAAACAATCCCGGATACCTCCCTGACTCTACTTTTTTTTATAAAGCGGTCACAATCTAAATATAGCAAAAAAAATTATAAATATTAAATATTAAATTTATTAAATATCAATTTTAATTTTGATTACATGAATCAATTTACATAAACTTTAGGTTTTCTTACTCTCTTATTTGGATGTCCAATATTTAGTACTACTATCTGTCTCATTCTGAATAATAATAACCTGTTTTATTGTTCTTTACATTTTAGCACTCCATTTCCTGATTTTTGGTAAACGTAGAATCTTGTAAGCCAATATGTGAGATCGTTCTGAGATGTCGACAGCCTAAGAGTATTTGAACTAAGCTAAATATTGAGTATATGGATCAGTGAACGTATTCCGTGGTGCTGAATTGTAGCATTTTTATCTTATTTTTTAATTTCCCCCTATTGTTGAAGTCTTAACCTTTCCAGTAATTCTTCGCTATATTTCATTAACCAGGCTTATCAACTTCCAAACCTATGAAATTTCTGTTCTGGGACCTGGAATCATCCACTTTGGTGAAAAACTTGGAACTTTAAAGGTGGTGATACTTTACTGCATGTCAGGTGGGGTCTTTGAGATAGGTACATCCTCCGGATAGCAATCATAAATCAGGTTGAGCTACTTTATCCAATATCGATCAAAGCGCCTGTGCCAACGCATGAGGCCCATTTGTCTTGCTTGGTGGTAGTTCGGATATCCTCAGGTCCAATAAATTTTAGTGCCAATCAGATAATGTCAGGATCAGGTGCCATGGGCTCCATTCCCCTTTTCTTTTTCTCTCTTCACCCCACCCAAACCAAGCCAAATTAAGCTGATACTGTTAGACGGACGGATTCATAAAGCATAAACAATCCATGCTACAGGGTTCTTCATTTTGATTACCCTCACATCTGTATCCGACACTTTTTGACCATTTTGATATTCACAAAGGGTATGACAGTTTCGTCCTCAAGATCGATGCAAAAGAACATAATGTACCCATGTCGAACACAGGTATCTCTCCGGCATCCTATCCTGAGTTAAAATTTTTAAACAAGCTTAGGTAAAAAACTTGGCGATCGGCAGATACTATATCTGCAATTAATTATAAAACTTTGTACCTAAGGAGATAATTATTTCAAGAGAAATCAGAGGAGATGATTTACATGTACTACTCTTAGGCACATATTATCAGTATCAGATATGATATCTTGGATAAGGAAAATGCTTTTCAGTCGGATTTCCTAGGCCAAATAGATAATTTAACTTGATATAAAAATACTTTTACCATTGAAATTGTGTATAACAATAATCTTTTCATTGTATATAATTAGACTAGTATTTCAACCCAAAAATCCCGTGAATCAACATAATATATATATATATATATATATAGGATGTCCACCATTCCCAGTCAAGAATTAATGATACTACCAAATTAATGTTCCTTCATTGATGAAACCTAGAATCAGTTTTGTAAATGTATCAAGCATGCATGAACTAATCATGGGAAGGAGATGAAGTAAAAACTCCAGCAAGAAAACAAAAAAATTAGTTAATACAGAATTAACAATGATTTTTAGCAGAGCCTTTGTAGCAGCAATAAGTCAATAACACACCTTATATACTAACATACATATACAATGAGAAGTATTGAGGCTCCATACATCTGTACTACTAGATCATTCAGCAGCGGCCGACGCAGAATTTGGCTTAGATGTAGAATCCCGAAGGGATGCAGATTGGGAGTCAATGCTTTTGGTCCGCTGGAGACTTGGGGCCCGATGAAGCCTGCAACGGAATGAACCAGCATGCGTGGTTGGAGAGCACAGGCAATTGGTCTTTGTTACACTTGACTGTCTGCTAAGCCTAGACGGCGCACCTTGCCCTGCTGCTGGTGCCATATAAGACTCTACAACACTGGATATCATTTCAGACTCTGATGGAATCTCCACTTTCAGATCCTTCTTCGACATCTGCCCACTGTCCATTATAGCCCTCTTTATCCTGGCAAGTTTCAACGCTTAATTAGCATATATAGTACTTCTACATGAAAAGTAAGCCATGAAACACTACACTACTTTTATGTAGCTAGCAAGGCAAAGATAGAAAACATATATACAGTCCTGGTACCTCTAGCAAGGGGTCTTGAATGACCTGAAATTGAACAGATGATGATTCACTTGTTTAGAGTTCCGGTAGCTTTGAAATGAAGAAGAGAGAAAAGATGTGGATAAAGAGATGCAATTGGCTATGCTAAAAAAAGAAAAGATGATAGGGCCTTGTACTATTCTTCTTAATCTTTCTTTTCTGTCACGAGATTTCTAATCAAATCCATTAACCCTCCAACCTACATTTGTCACTTTTCTCTTCAACCACTCTTACAAAAAAAAAAAAAAAAAAGGTCCATCAAATACGACCCCATTGGTCGTCCCCTTTTTATCTTTTCAAAGTTTTCACCCATTTCTCGGCATGCATCCGAATTATGAGATCAGATGATGATGGCCCTCCCAATGATCTTCTAATCGGTCCCTAAGTTATATCATGAGAGACATTCTCGGGGGTCTCAATTTTTAGCTTATCACTTCCTTCCACAATTTGCATTTATGAATCTATACATCAGTTTGTGATCGTATTGTATTGTATCCCACTTAACAGGTTGTACTTGCCTCTCGGCTTAAAATCTTTTCAAATGAAATGATATATATTACTTGTGGGGCCACTGAGACATGACATATATGTACTTCTGGGCCCGGTGGGACATGACATCCCGCCCTTCCGACGTCGACTATTGAAAAAAATATTTGCACCAATTTTTCATAAAACTTCAAAGAAGAAAAACATAAAATGGAGGAAATATTTTTACATATATTTATGTTATATATAATATACTTAAAAACTTATTAAAAAATCAATTAATTCAATCAATTAAATTATTAATTTAAAAAATAAAAATTGATCAAATTAATAGATTAAATCACTTTATTTAATTGATTATTACTAAAATTGAACTAATCAAATAAATTTAATTAAATCCAATTGATTTTGATTGATCAAATAAGTTGAAATCTACTTATGCTCACTCTTATTTTTTTTCAATATTTTATTCTTTAATTAAAATTAATGCTACTTAGGATGATAATGACTTAAAAATGAAACCATTTTAATCTTCTTATAGAATTAATTAAATATATCAGAGAATGTTCATCATATATATTTGAATTACACATTCTATCATTGTCGGGGGAGTAAAATAAAAATATTTGAATTACGCATAGGTTTTAATCGACAAGGATATCCGTCGACATCATCGTCCTCAGATCTTGTTTTTTACATTTTTTTTTAAACTGCCTTTTTTGACCCGACACCATACATTAAGATATCAAACGTTGTTAGAAGTTGTTGATTTATTACAATTCCACTGAAAATAAAGTGGTCAGTACACCATTTAGGGACGATGTGAGGCTGATGCTGCCATATTTCAGCTACAATAGTTTAGTGCGCATCAATTACAGGCCGACTTCTTCGAAAGGGCTCAAGAAATGATTATTAGGCGGATATGATAATTGAACATAATAGCATGCAAGATTCTTTATGATTATTTTATGTTCCTAAAATTATTATTATTTTTTTTTGTGTGTACCAACGTCCTTGTGTAAATACATAAATATATATTTAAATCAAAAATTTTAATGTTCACTATTAAATGGTACACGTGGACAAATTTGGCTTTAACTCAAGTGACAATATATTTTATACATATATAAAGAGATTCTGAAAAATATTTTAATTTCAAATGTTTAACTCAAGTGATATAGATTAGATGGCGTTGGATTAATATTTTAACTTTGAAAATGGCAAAGTACACGTTCACATGGATGTAATGCGATTTAAATAAGCTAAATGCTCAGTGTTCTATGAATTTTTTATCTCTAAAGTGTGATAAGAAATTATGAATTACTTTCAGCAATTTTATGAGTCGTTTGTTAATTTATTCTTTCAAAAACATTTTTAAATCCAAATTAATATATTACGATTCTGAGCTCAATTCTTATGCTTCTAGGCTCAAATGAGACCCAAGAGGGAGAGCCCAATTAAACATACCTATTTGCAGAACCAGGATTCGGCCCAGTGTCGTTATCGAGAGTGGTTTTGTTTCCAACCAAAACCTGCCTCGCTGTTCAGCTCGTAGGCCTTTACTATGCAAGAATATTGGGCTTACCATGGCTTTTAAATACACAATTTCCACAGAAATCATGGTTTCATCATAGACATCTTATCACAAAAAATATGTCATGCATCTGATTCATAGACAAGTTTTTTTTTTCCTCTACGATTTTATTGGATGTGATATAAATTAAGATGTATAGATAGAAGCCAGAAATTATTATTTAAATCACTGTTATCTTTCTTATCACATCAATTATAACCCTACAAGGCCACTAATTAGGATAAGAAATATCATTAAAACATTACGATCTCCTTAAATATTATATGAGTTTAAAATTATTATTAATATTTTTTTTATATAAAAAGATCATAGCTTATATAAAAAATAAGTTATTAAGATTTGAATTATAAATTTATAAGATATTATTTTATAAAAATGATTATATAAATTAATTGAATTAAATTTTAAATTTAATTTTCATTAATAATTATGTTACGTAACTAATATAATTAAGAATTAAAATCATTTATTACTAGAGACACAGTACCTTAATAGGTATGAAGGTAGCTGTGGCAGATCTAAGTGATGCTCAATGGGGTCAATTAAGCCCCACTAAGCTTGAAATTATAGATAGATTTTCTTCATTGATCTCATTGAAATTATATGGAAATTTAATGGGAGGAGTGGTGAATGAATAAGTTTCATATCTTATAATTACACGTTTTTCGTACCACATTGACCAAATAAACATTTATTTCTTTTAAACGCGATAAGTACTGCTAATTAAACTCATTAAAATATTTTGATACTTGTACTGAAGATCTAGAGTAAATAAATTTGACCTTATCTTTAGTTTTTTTATTTAATGGGTTAGGAAGCTTAAGAAGAAATGTAAGATGAAAATTTGAATTCCACCATCCCCTACCTCCTATCCAATAGATAAAAATAAAATAATAAAATTGACCGTCATTTGATGACAAATCTTGTATCATAAATTTATGTAAGCCAAATTTTTGGTAAAAAGAAAAATATTTAATGTGTTATTCTTTTGATACATATATAATCTTGAATGAATCTTATGTATCATGCATTAATTATTTTTATTTGATTTAATTTAAATTTTAAAATATTTTATATAAATAAATTACTTTAATATTTTTAATTGATTTATCTTTAACATAAACATGAACAAACAAGAGATTAATTCTTTTTCATATATAAAAAACATTAAATGTGCTAACGAAATAAAATTAACCTAAAATCGTCGTGCTAATCTAATATAAATATATATAAGATACAAAATATCAAATATAAAAAAAAAAGTTATTCAACGTGAATAATATTCTTTTGTTTACATTTATTTCCAATTTTTATGTTTTAAGCCTCTGCTTTTTTTTTTTTTCTTTAATGATTTTTACTATGAAATAATTCGCATGTTTAACATTTTCTCTTTGCAAAATTATATAATATGTTTTGTTATTATGAATGCTTATCAAACTTAGGACGGAATATTTGTAAGTTTGCAACGAAAAAAAAAAAAAAGTGGTCTGAACTGAATGCAATTTAATTAATTAATTAACCCATGTTGAAAAGTTTAGTAAAAGTAGTGTCATGCACGAAAGGAAGCCAACAATGTCAAACTGGGAGATAAATTAAGAAGATTGTATAACAATTATACTTCACAAATTCTAAATTTGTTTAGTTGTTTTTACTAGCTAGCTAGTGATTAGTTGCCGTCCCACAAGTTGATATGTTTTGGGTATATTGAGTTAATCAATTGGCTCAAGTTCTTATTCAGTTCTTAATGAGATTTGGGATAGGATCAAACTGCTAAATTGGAAATTTAATAAATTTTTTAATTTTATGATGACTCCAATGTGCAATATCTTTCATTTTCCCAACTAATTACATAGTTTTTAAAAGCATTTCTTATATTTAACCTTTAAACTTCAGTTTTTATTACATTTTATTATAAAAATTTAAATTTTTTTATAATATTGGTATTAAATATTTTTCATTTATAAAAAGAAAAACTAAAAAATAATATTAGATGTTAAAAGTTATAATTTGTTTCATATAGTGATTTTTGGATTATTTTGCATTTGAAATTTGGAAACTTAAATTAAAAAAAATATAGATTTGGATTTTAAACTAAATATAAATTATTTGATAAAACACATGTGAATAAGTCTTTCATTATTATTTGAAAATTCATGAATTTGTTAGTTTATATCGGTTATCAAATGATGAATTTGAAATTAATATACTAATATCCTTTCAAATATACAAATATAATAAATCTTAATTAATTATATATATAATGCACATTTCATTCTCATAATCATATATATATATATATATATATATTATAACATATATGCATATCTAATAAGATATATCACATGTACACTTATGTGAACAATTTTTTTGAATGACATGTAAGATAATATTAATTTAATATTATTCAAAGTAATCAAATATCCAAAATTTTTAAATTAAATTGTATTAAATATTCAAATATTGATTTGATTTTAAATGCATTTTTATCCTGATATATCTAAACCCAATTATATATTACCCAAAATAATAAAAAAATCAAAACTTTTTTATATATAACTCTTTTTACGTAGTTTATGACAAATATTGATTTAAATTTAAATTTATTTTTTTAATTCATATATATTTAAATCTACTTTTCAAATTTAAAATTATATATATAACATTTCTTGCTCTTATTCGAAATTTGTGCATATTCTTATATTGTAATTAACTGTCTTTATGATCTTTTTCTTTATAAAACACTAATTTTGTACCCTTACAATTGCATGGAATTTTTATATTTATAATAATATTTAATTTAATTTATACAAATCTACATAGAATTTTTGTAGATTTAAGATTTTGTTTTTATTACTAAATATTATCTTCTCTTTTTTTTTTATTAAATTTATATATTTAATGTTAAAATTTTTTATT